TGCATTCTTCGAGTTAAAGTTTAGACATATATTGAATATAGTTATGATTCACGTAATTCTCTTTCTTGTGTACAATTTTAATAGAATAACATATTATGGATGCATTTGTTTATAACCTTTTTAGCCTATTTCAACAAATATCGTGAAAAAAACTAGACATATGTTGAAGTTATTAAAACTCAAACAACATTTGTGAATTTTGATACCTTTAAAACTCAAACAACATTGGTGTATAATAATTATATATTTTATGTTGGGTTGGGTTTTCACTTAAAAATATCGCCAACCCGACCCAACCCAATTAGAAACAAACCGTAGATCTAAATTTTTTTGGGTGGGTTTGGGTTTGATAATTCCCAAACCGTAGCGCATGGATCGGGTGATTAAAATACTTAAACCCGAACCAACCGATCCATGTACACCCCTATGTACTACTGCTAGCTCCCGAGCTAAAGGTAGACGTCAACAAAGAGGCAACACTATATCGAGTCCCAAATTCCATCTCCGGCCATTTCGTGCTTGAATCATTACCCCTTCGCTAGTAAGTACATTTCATAATTTAATATAAATCGACCGCGAGACAACTAAAGATGATAAGAAGATGGACTTTGCTACGGTGACATGCACTTTTCGGTCGACCTCGTATAGGATTAGGTCGACCTAATCTATTGTTTCAGTGTAAAAACAGTTTCATGGTGCCTACTTTAGAGCTTCATATCTTACAATTGGCTAGATGGAAGTTGGAGATTAAAGGCTTGTTTTGAAGCTGAAGTGTCCCTCTAAACATTGAAGTACTTGGGAGCTCAATAGAAAGTCCATAAGACCATTTTTGAACTTGACCAAAAGGCTATGCCAAAACTGGGAAACTGCCTGAAAATGGCTAAGTCTGGCAACGTGTTTGTCAAGCCTACTTTGGAGCTCAATTTGAGAAGCATGGATGCGAGTCAAGTCCAGGGGCCTTTACCACGTTAAATTACGTATTTTTTATACAAAGGCAAGGCATTGGATGAAAGATTGAATATCTTTAAGGCTTCAAACAAAATGCTCGAAGTTGCTACGAAGGTTGTTTTTCTGGCAGCTTGCTTGTGCTCGAAGTCTGCCAGAAAAACAGCCTTCGTAGCAACTTTGACCCTTTTGTTTGAAGCCTTACAGATATCCAATCTTTCATCCAATGCCTTGAATTTGTATAAAAACATACCTAATTTAACGTGGTAGAGGCTCCTGGACTCGACTCGCATTCATGCTTCTCAAATTGAGCTCCAAAATAGGCTTCACAAACACGTTTCCAGACTTAGCCACTTCCAGGCAGTTTCCCAGTTTTGGCATAGCCTTTTGATGAGGTTCAAAAATGGTCTTCTGAACTTCCTATCGAGCTCTCAATCACTTCAATATGTAGAGGGACACTCCAACTTCAAAACAAGTCATTAGTCTTCAATTTCCATCTAACCAATTGTATGATATGAATATCCAAAGTAGGCACCATGAACTGTATTTACACTGAAACAACAGATTAGGTCGACCTGATCCTATATGAGGTCGACCGAATCCTAAATGAGGTCGACCAGATCCTATATGAGGTCGATCGAATTCTAAATGAGGTCGACCTAATCCTACCTGAGGTCGACCGGAAAGTGCAAGTCACCGTGACATGCATGTCACCGTAGGCATACCCTAAGAAGATATGTTAATATATATAAAGCAAAATGCAAGTTACTGTTGCCTAAAAACTTGCATGTTACTCCTATTTATTTTTTGAACTCACCATTTGAGACATATTTTTTTTTAACTTGGCCTAAATGTGGCTATTTCTATTGTATTTTTATTTTTGTGCACTCATAATTTTTTCCGCAATAAAATTATTTTTTGAACCGTTATTGCATAGTTTTTTCTAAGTGCTTATCAATTAGAAGATGTAGATTAATCCACCCATATAGTCATCTTTCTTTGCACATGTTTCGATCCTTATTACATATGTTTTCGTGATGTATTTTTCAATTTGAGGATGATGATTGAACAATACCATTATTTTCGTGGTGACATTATCTTCGACATTTAAAAGTTGTATTATCTAGAAAACATGGTTTGCTTGCCAAAAAGTCTCATTGTAAGTCCGAGCCTTCTATTGTATATATTTTCTTATTGCTCCTCAATTGTAAATGGCGATGATCTTGACATGTTTTTGGGGTTTCTTAACATTGTTCTATTTAATAATCACAGTGGATCCTGAACTTAAACTATTTATCTTCACAATAGACAAAATAAGTCTTCTCCCCATTACTTCCTACTTTTCCATGAAAAACCATGCCTAGGCTGTTTACATGCATTCTCCCCACGCACTTCTCGAATTGAAAACGACAATAGATCTCAACTCAAAGAAATGGTTTATGTGTACTCGCATTGCTCGCTCATCTAAGCTTTTCTTTAGCAAAAAATGTTTTCAACACACTTCATCTACTTTTTCAAAAGAACTTCTCTACTTAAGAACGATGATGGATCTCGACAGAAGAATGTTTATTTTCGCAGTGTCGTTGCACAGTCTTCATCATTGGGATACCATCCTCCTTTCGAAGAAAATGTCTATTTATATGTATTTGCTAACATGCTACTCAATCTGTGAACAACCATAAATCCTAATATAAATGCTAAATGCGTCATTTTCCCTATTTATTTTTCAACCGGTAAATTCATCAATAACATATAATCTAAAACTTTGACACAACAATCCCACAAAAAAAGAAAAACTTTGACACAACAAATTAACAAACGAACCTTTAATCGTTGATATAAAACTCCTTCACGATGATCGCGGCTTGACGCGATTTTCACTTTCTAGTTTTCATATAAAGATAAAGATTTGTTTCAATTAAGTATATCACGTTGCTGTGGTTAGTTTTTTTTTTATAACAAGAGATCTTTCTAGATAAGGATTAGTTTAAATATTTCAGTTCAGACTTCAGAACCAACTAGACACATGATGATGAATGATGATGCTATTATTTAGTGTCAACTCCTTGAGCGGTCTGATGGAAAATGTGGGAATAATTAAACCTATAAACCCTCTGAACTTTAGAATTAGTGATGGGCCCACGGGTATCCCACAACTCATATCTATCTTTATATCCAACAAGGATCAGGTCGAGTAATATCCGGGACAGGTTACGGTGATTACTACTTTGTAGTAATCACCGTGGTTACTAAGGGTAAATTGGGTATGGAAAAATAAATTATATTAATTAATTTTTTAATAAATTACATTTAAGGTAGTTACAAAAATCTATTAATTAAAATTCTCTCTTCCTCTCACTTCCGTAATCTCCATCCAGATTTTCTTTCCATATTTTTCTCAATCTTTCTGCAAAAAAAAAAAAAACAAAATCAGTATCAATCCATTAGACAAACACTACCACTTTGAAAAATATCAATACCATTACAGAAATAAATCTATACCATTACACGAAAACTACCATTCAAGAAATAAAAACACTACCATTTCACAAAACATCAGTCCACATCAAACTACCAATCCAAATGAAGACTACCAATCCAAATCAAACTACCAGATTCACATGTATGGAGAAAACTACCAATGCATGAAAGGAAACTACCATTCAAAAAAACTAAAAAACTACCATTCGAACAGAACAATACCAATCACATCAAAAAGCACGGTTTCACATGTATGCAGAAAACTACCAATGCATGAAAGAAAACAGCAAAAAAGAATACCATTCCAACATAACACTACAATTCCAAACAGCAAAAAAACTACCATTCCAAACATAACACTACCATTCCAGAACCGGCGGCAGCCGGAGCTATGAATGCCGTCTGCGGAGAAGATGGAGTTTCAAGCTTGAAGCTGGGTTTTGGCCTTTGGGTGGAAGTCTGCGGAGAAGAGAAAGGAAGCAGATTTGATGGCGTGGCGGATTAGGGTGGAATCTGGAAGCCACTGCGTGGGCATGGACGGTCCGAGCGAGGTAGGCAGAGAGCGGGATTTGGCGAGGAGAGCAGAGCTGCTGGAGAAGGAAAGCATATCGGCTTGCAACTGCGCCAACAGTGTTGGGACAGTTCATATTCGCCAGAGTATGGAAATTTCATAGCTTTGAGGAGTGGCGTTTAAAGGCGGCCGGAGTGAGTGGGTGATCGGAAGGCATGGTTTCCGTCCATCGGCAAAGTTTGAAAGAGAAGGGACGGTGCTCTATTTTGGAGGCAGAAGAAGCCGCCTCAGACGGCGGAGACGAGGGCGAAGTAGGGTTAGGGAAAAGTAGGGTTAGGATAGAATATATAGAATAATCCAGTGTGGTACTTTTTTTTCTTCCAAAATTATCCTAAAGTAATCTTAACCGTAAGATTAAAAAAAGAGGAAAGAGAAGAAAATAGATGGTGGATACTGTTGTAGCCACGGTGGCTACTAGAAATTCAGTTTCCACCCTAACGCATTCCAGTAATATCCATGCTGATACGAATCATGCCAATTTGGCCTATTTGCACAATTGCACTTGTCATTTGAAGAACACAAGCGTAAAATATAATAATTATTTTTTGTAGAAAAATATAATTTGTTTACGATTAAACAAAGTGAAAATATTTCATGAATGAAAAATAGTAATAACAAAATGAGTAATTAAGATTAATTAATTGAACGTTTAAATCTTGTGTTCTTCAAATTAAGATTAATTAATTGAAAGTTTAATTTCGAAATAAAAGAACGGACGAGATAGGTTGTATGGTAAGTGATATTTCCATTTATGGAATAGGAAAAAGGAGTCATGTATAATTAGTTTCCAATTCTGGACTTGTTTATACGCCCGCATGGCGCCACGATGAGAATTTAAACAAATAAAAGAAAACTCACGCGTCAAATCCACGCAGTTGCCGGTAGAAAAATGCCCATTCCCCCGTGACAAAATCACTCCCACAAGGCACAAACCAACTCGCCAAAGCCAAACAGCAGCTAGCCAGAAAAAAAAAAAAGTTCCCCAATATTCCTTTCCTCTGCAATGGCGAGCAACCCCAAAGTCTTCTTCGACGTGACCATCGGCGGCGCCCCCGCCGGGCGGATCGTGATGGAGCTCTTCAGGGAGACGACGCCGATGGCGGCGGAGAACTTCCGCGCGCTGTGCACCGGCGAGAAGGGATCCGGGGAGAGCGGGAAGCCGCTCCACTACAAGGGCTCCAAGTTCCACCGCGTGCTCCCCGGGATGATGTGCCAGGGAGGCGACTTCGTCAACGGCGACGGCACCGGCGGGGAGTCGATCTTCGGCCGGACGTTCCCCGACGAGAACTTTAGGGAGATGCACACGGGCCCCGGGACCCTGTCGATGGTGAACTTCGGCCGGGACACCAACGGGTCTCAGTTCTCCATACTGTTGACCCGGGCCGGGTGGCTGGACGGGAAGCACGTCGTGGTCGGCAAGGTCGTCGACGGGATGGACGTCGTCGAGGCCATCGGCGGCGTCGGGTTTGAATCCGGCCAGGGATCCGACCCGGGCGTGGTTATTGCGGACTGCGGTGAACTCTCCGAATAGTTTAATTTATTAATAATGATGGTGGGATTTACATTTATTTATACTGTCGGTCATGAATAATGCTGTTTCGCCTGCGCGCGCTTTTCCGTTGCGCTGTTGATTTGAAAAGAGTTTACCGTTGGCATGAATTGTTGTTGAGGTGTGTCGGGTGGTGGGTGTTTGTACTTTAAACTTTCTCTTCTGCGTATTTGTCATGACTCATGAAGTATGTATTTGATGGTTAAATAATGAAGTTGCGTTGATCTCATTTGGGATGAGATAATGAATGAAAAATCATGGCAAGTTTTCTAATTGTTCCCTTTTTTGTTTCTGCCTGATTTCTGTCAAATATTAGTTGAAACACAGTATCATACCATTTGCTTTATCTCATGAGAGCTAATGGTTTCTACTGCTTTAATTGGGATTAGTCCGAATATATGAAAAAATTATTATATTGTTTAATCCAAATAAATTGGATATAATTTTATGATAAAATCACATATTGATCAATTTTTTTCAGTATTTATAAATTATATGAAATTTCATATACCATATGGGTAATAATTTTACACCCAAATAACAATCCATATCTTGATCCAACATATAGTGAAAATTAAACAAACTCATATAAATATCACTATTCAAATGATTAACTTAGAATATCCTAAAGATAGGATTAGACGAAAAGGAAAACTAAAAAAGAAACGCAATTTGCAAATCAAAGGCAAAAACGACGTCATATCCCCATGTACCAATTCAGAATCTTGCTGCGGGTCGACCCGTGAGTGTGTGACGCCCATTTTCCTTATTGGATCCGGATCAATTTGGATCGACTACCGTGTTGACGACATTGGTATATAGTGAACTTCCTCACCTTTATCGGCTTTTTCATATTAATAATCGTAAGTTCCAAATAATAAACTAGACCCCTCAACTAAGCTCAACTATAAAAGCTACAAGTTAACAAATAAAACAATTGATAAGGTTTTGGTCATTTATTCCACCACTTAAACTCACTTCACGTTGCAATTGGTTGGAGGTTCTTGCTTTTAGATGCAGGCTTATCTCGCGCCGAGGTGACGAGATTGGTGTTCTTATACTGGAAGATCTGGAAAGGGAGATGCTCATCTACTTATGAACTCATCCAATTCCTCCCGGTCTCTTTGCTGCGACAGTTTAACTGTCAAACTGCGTAATGGTTTTCAGCTCAAGAATCAGGGACTGCAAGACGCCAGCAGCATCTTCCATCACCGACTGCTTGCCGCAACTCAACTCCACCTACTATTCCTTCTGGATTCATGCTGGTTCATTTTGACAGAGCTACTAAGGAATCCTTTGGGGGTGCCATCGGTTTTGTTGGCTTGGCATCTCAGAATGTTGTCTCTTTTGCTTATGGGCGTTCCTACGCTGAAGTTCACGATCCTTTTCTTATTGAACTATTGGCGCTTCGGGATGCCATGCGTTGGTTCCTTTCTCATTCCATAACTAATGTTCTATTTTGTGGTGATGCGCAGGTCGTTATCCGGATGGTGTCCGCGAAGGATTCGAATCACGCTTTGGGAGGGGGGGGGGGGCAATTCTGAATGAGGTTCAGGTGCTGCGGACTTCTCTTGCGCGTGTTTCGTTTCTTTTTGCTCCTCGTAGGTATAACAGGGCTGCCCATTCCGTGGCAAAACAGGCCCTCGCATCGATGGTTCAGCGTCTGGTTGACCATCGTTTTGCTCGAGTTTCTTTTCCCTGACCGTTTGGTCTTGTATATTTTCGTATCTTGCTATTCCTTCCGGAATATCTTGGGGAAAAAAGGTTTTGCCACCCAACTAATACAACCTGGTTATTAAGGTTGAAATTATTTAGTTTAATTAGGTTATTGGGCCTCTCTCACTTGGATTAACGGCTCTTCTAACAGTGGCGGAGCCATTAACATAGTTGGGGGTGCTTGTAGCCCTTTCTGAAGGACACATAAAAATATCAAGAGAGGATAAGTGGTAGATTCAAACCCTTGAATTGACTTCTCGGTTTCAGACCATCTTCCTTATCATCTCCACACTCCACATGATGAGTTATGCGACTATAAAGCATGCATACACTTTTATTCACAAAATAGCGATAATTGGTCCTAAAAATAACACCTACAACTAAGTTGTGTCGTTCCCATATTTCATGAGATGTCACATTCCTTGTCTTGAATCTCACTAAACTTCTTCTTCCACTCACATCTTGATCCACCATTCTCACCATCTATTGATCCTACTATTCATGTTCTAAATACAGAAATTCCTCTTCCATTTCCAGATACTACAGAATCACCTTTTCTGGTTCCTTCTACACCAAACCAACCTCCTATCGTACCTGAAGCTCTTTCTCCACTCATTACACCTTTCCCCCCACATTCTCCTTCACGTGTTATAGATCTCCCAGCATCACCCTCCTCACTTCATGTTGCCCTTCGCAAACCTTCTCAAATCCCAACTAAACTTGTGAAATATAATGATTATGTTATGCATGTATAATCACACTTTGACAAGCACCTTAGTTGCTTGTTTATCCTATGACCAGTTGTCACCAGGATATAAGAAGTATGTTTGTGCAGTTGAAATTTGAAGCCAAAATACACTTGTATAGCCAAAACTTTAATGATTTTGCCAATATAGCCACTTTTGGAGAAATACCAAATATAGCCAATTCCGTCCAATTCCTTAACGGTGTTATCTAACGTGTTGACTGGATTGATGTTTCTTGCTGATGTGGCATTTAAAAAAAAAATGCTAGGTGAAAATGATTATTTCATTATTAGAAATTAATTATAAAAACAAAAACAAAATCCTTGACACCTCTTCCCTCTCTCTTCTCTCGCCTTTTCCCCTATCCTTCTTCAACCATGCCTCTCCGTTTACCTTGCCTAGCTCCCGATGAAGAAATCGGAGGGTTTTAGATCGAAGGTGCAGTAGTGGAACAGAAAAGAAGAAGTACAAGCCGCCGTCGCCGCCGTTCCCAAACCGACGAACCCGAAGAAGTAGATAAGGGTTCCGATTAACCATTGTCGGCGAAAGATTCTCAAATAAAAAACAATCTTCCATACTACGGAGGAAGAATCAGCTCAACGACGAGTTGATATGTGAGGGCCAAGTGCCGAGCTGGTATCCGTCGGGCGGAGCTTGTCCCTGGATCCGGAGCCCCAATCCGGGCTCATAGAGTAGAACGGCTGCTGCTGTGGCGGTCGAAAGAGGCATGGGTTTTGGAATCGTGACCGAGCGGGGGGCTCGTTGGTGCTTCGGCAGCGGCGGCAGAAGTAGAAGGCAAGAACGGCGGAGAGGATTACACCGGCGACGAGGAAGGAGAGGGAGACGATAGGTTTTTATTAAGGGGTCAGGGATCGAGTTTTGGCGGTACTGGTGGGTGGTTGGAGAAGACGGTGCGAAGATGGAGGGTTAGGGAATCGAGTTTTGGCGGCATGGAATTGGAGTGGAAGATGGTTGTTGGCTTGGATTCTTGGTTCTTGTCTCTGTCTTTGATTTGGGAATGGATAGACAGAGTTTCCTTTCCTTGGCGAGAGGAAGAAGATGAAAAGGGATACATTTGTTTTTTTTTAATTCAATTTTGTTATTAAAGACAAATTAAAATTATTTATTTTTAATTTTTAATTTTTAATTGAAATAACACGTGGCATCTACGTGTCACCAACGGCTGAGTTGTCGCTGATGTGTGCGATGATTTGGCATCCTAGTCAGCTTACCGTTAACCTAACTGACAAAGTTTTTAACACCGTTAAAGTTTACAGCGAAAATGGCTATATTTTTCATAAAACTTTCAAAATTCTGGCTATATTTGGTATTTCTTCAAAAGTGGCTATTATTGTCACAAACGTCAAAGTTTTGGCTATACATATGTATTTTGCCAAATTAGAAACCACTTTGATACCCAAAACATTTGAGGGGTTGTGAAGTGCAAATGTTGGAGAGATGCTATGAACTTGGAGTTGAGAGCATTGGCAGAAAATCATACATGGGATGCAGTTTCTTGTCCACATAGAAATAGACCTATTGGGAACAAGTGAGTGTTTACCATCAAATTCAATCTTGATGGTATCACAGAGAAGTACAAGGCTAGACTGATAGCCAAAAGATTTACTCAGATTTATGGAATTGATTTCGTTGACACTTATTCCCCAATTGCTAAATTGGATTCTGTCAAATGTTTCTTACATTGCAACCAACAAAGGATTATTGGAAGTTGTTTCAGTTAGATGTCAATGTATTGCATTATGCATTTCTGTTTGGTGACTCTCAAGAGGAAGTTTATATGGATCTTTCTCCTACCATTCCTGACTGTGGTAAAAGTATGTCGTATCAGGAAATCAATATATGCTCTATAGCATGCATCAAAGAATGGTTTGCCAAACTTACATATGCTCTTCTAAGCTTTGGTTATATATAGTCCCATAGTGATTATTCTATGTTTGTCCACTACAATAATAATGATAATTGTCGAAAACATATTGATATTATGTGCTTAATGTGATTATTTCATGATATTTTTTAGACATATATTGCTTGTTTTAAGGCCAGCTGACTATGGAATGGTTATATGATCATTATGACCATGTATTAGAATGTTGATATATTTTAGGTGGAAAGATAGAAATTGTGGAAGTACAGGCAGACAGATAAGTCGAACACAAATCAAGTCTATCACCAAATCAATTTGGACCGGGTTCTTGAGCTAGCCCAGTTGGAGTGCATTATTTTCCAATTTGGACCGGGACTTTGGTGGATTTATTGGGCCCGGCCAATTAGAAGAAGCAGCTAGGCAGAGGAATTAAACCGAGAGGAGGGACGAAATTTTGCAAGGAGGAAATCGGCTGGGAATAAAAGGGGGAAGCTGGGCGGAATTGAAAAAGGGGAGGCGGAATAATTGGAGAGGCTTTTTTTTTTGTCAAAGATATTCCCGAGGGGAACAAATAGATACGAATTGGAAGCCTTTTCAGGCAACCCAAATAAACCAAAAAGAGGAAGGGACGACGA